TCAATCACAGCTCGTGGGATTTGAAAAAAGTTCCATTCGTTCTTGGAGTTCATAAGCGAGTCTTCGTTCACATTATTTATCCTCACTCCTTCAGTTATTTGTCTCAGCATCGCGTCATTGTGATAAACCCCCGTCACATCCATTCGGAACTGCTTTACCTCTCTATTGTGTTTCTCTTTACAGTGTTTCCACAATGCAGATCGTTCTTCCTTATTGTTAAGTGATTTCGTATGCTCTTTCCCTCTGGTATACGCGCTCCTGGCTGTTTCCCCTACGTATACGCTGTTACACTGGATACACTTAATCTCATACGTCACACTTTCTCTATCACACGGTCCTTTTCCACCTGTGCTACACACTGGGCAGTCTTCTCGTCCACACTGTCGCGGTTTAAATGGGTCGGACTTTTGGAGTAGTCGTTTAATGGCGATTCCGGCTTTCTCCACCACTTTAATATTGAAACCTTGCTGCTTTATTTCTGTCTGGTATTCCTTCCGTAACCGTGAGTTGGGCGTAGCTGGTACAAAAATTACTGATTCATTCCCGCCGCGTTTGTACCAGTTGGATTTCCTTTCGCTCTTTTCCTTTTCTCGTTCCACCTTTCTCCAGGAGTGAGGATAAATAATGTGAACGAAGACTCGCTTATGAACTCCAAGAACGAATGGAACTTTTTTCAAATCCCACGAGCTGTGATTGATACATCATGACCGCTTACATGAAGCCTGGAAGAAGTGTGGACATTTCAGAGTCACTTATATGAACAATTATTTATGAGTATTTTAAACATGGCGGAGTACTACTGATGAGGATCGTAATTGATCGAAATCGATTTGGAATTCCGCTACATCTTTACAAGTGACTTTTTATATACCATTTTACACGTTTTTACAATTCTTGTATTCGTTTTATAGTAGTTTTTAGTGCGTCGAACGTGACTACGAGACGTTATGTCTAGCAAACTGACTCAATTCTTGCATATCCCATCACTGAAATCTTAAATGCCTCCTTAAAGGAACAACGCTTACCCACCATGTGCATAACTGTCAATGTCACACCAATCCCTAAAAGGAAACCCATTAAAGATGTTAAGAAGGATTTAAGACCTATTTCCCTTACACCATGTCTTTCTAAACTGGCTGAGGATTTAGTCGTCACTAATTATGTCAAGCTCGCCGCTTTACAAATTTTAGACAATCGCCAATACAGCACTGTCACGAAATCCTCTACGACCCTAGCTTTGCTGGAAATGTTTCATTGCTGGACGAATGCTACAGATAGCAACGGCTCTTCTGCATCTTATTTGATTACAGGAAAGCCTCCAACTTGATCGGTCACAAGGTCCTTCTTGCTAAGCTAAGTACTCTGATTTTGCCGCACTCCATCATTAATTGGATTATCAATTTCCTTACCAACCATCACCAAAGAACAAAACTTGCTGAAGGACGCATATCCGAATGGGGTTTGGTGCCCTCTGGTGTTCCATGGCTCTTTGTCATCATGATCAATGACTTCTCCATTAGCGGCACATCATTATGGAAGAACGTAGATGACACAACAGTTTCCAAAATCACTCCCAAAGGCCAGACAAGTAGCACTCAAGAATATGTCGATTCTGTGGCAGACTAGTCCGTTGACAACCGGTTCCAATTGAACACCGATAAGTGTAAGGAAATTCGTATATCATTCTTTAAGAACAATGCTGACCTTTATTCATTAATGGCCATGAACTAGAAATTGTTCAGAATGCCAAACTACTTGGAGTGACTATTACAATCAATCTTTCTTGGAACTTACACATTAACGAAACTATCAAGAAAGCGTCAAAACGACTTTATTTTACACAGCTTAAACGTGCTAAGGTCCCTACATCGGACTTAGCAAGATTCTACACGTTGTATTATAGCTGTCTGTGACTATGCTGTACTGGTTTTTCATTCATCCCTGCCTAGTTATCTACTTAATGACTTAGAACGAGTTCAGAAAAGAGCTCTATCAATTACTTTCCCTCACTTATGTTACAACGAATCATTAGCATTTTTAGACTTGGATTCACTTTTTGATCATCACATTTCTTTAAGCAATTCAATTTTTAATAAAATCCTACATGACAAAGAGCATAAACTACACCACCTGCTTCCCCCAAGACATTGCCCTAACTACAACTTTAGGCAAAGCCAAGTGTTTGATATTAGTTACAAACCAACCACACCAAGAACAGTTTTATTAACTTTCAGTGTAATTCAATTAACAATAATAAGAAGGTATTTTATGTTGTATTTTTATAGAACATTTTATCTCCAGTATTTTAGAGAACATTTTAGCTACACAGTTATTGTACGCAATTTAGCCAATGGCTACCGTGTACATACTAATAAAGTAGCTCTCTCTTTTTAACGAAGACTTTGTGAAATCTGATTCCAGCAATAGCGGGCTCCAAAACATGATTGCAGTTCAGCACTTAAAGACCCAAATTGCTGCTTCACACCATATCCTAGGTCCCGACATTTGTTTCCAACCTTCTCACAAGAACTGCTATCAGTTGTCTGGCTGGAAGTCCTAGTCCCTACAGCATCAGAAATATCACACACAGAAGCGAACCTTCTTAAACTCATCAAATTCAGCACTTCCTTTAACCCTTTACCTATCATTCGTATGATATTGTGCAATTAAGACCTGGGACCCAGAAGTGCTCTCTGAGAGAGTCACTTTTGGTCACTGTGAGCCCTTAGCTGGAGTTCTTGGTAACTGAAACGCGTTTTGTCCTCTGCAATCCTTCAACTGACTGTTAACAACAACAGAATTATTCAGTTTTTCACTTTTTGTGCACAAATTGTTTTTGTGTGGGTATTTAAAAATGGTGAATGCATCCATTCCCAATCATGAAGTTTTAAGATGAGTTTTAGAGAGCAATGGAGTACGAAATTTCTGATGAAAGTGAAGAAGAATTGTCTTGTAATGGTGGTGACTATAAGGAAGAAAGTTCCGATTCTGACAAGGAAAGAGATATTTCTGATCCATCCAGTAGTACTGAAGAATCTGCATGGTGAGTAAAATTTAACTTGTTTGTTGTTAACATCGCATAGAGTTAAGAATATTGCAACGCATTACAGTTTTATCAGTTAAGGCTGAGGTAGTTGCTAAAGGGAAAGAAAAGGTCGTCGTGCTCATGGTGGTTTAGCAAGAGGTTGTACAAGGTGGCAACAAGTGTATGCTGATCCAACCATTCCATGGACTGAACATTAGGCGCCACAACAAGCAAGACAACTTCTAGAACTGTCCCTTGATCCTACTAGTAGTTATTTGAACCCTGAAAATCTGAGAGGTCTGGTTTTGATCATTTATTCACTGAAGACATTTGGGATTTGTTATTTGCTTAAAGAAACACATAGCAAGAACAATCGTTTGCCTAAGAACCAGGCGCTGTTATGGCTGCCACATGTAATTTAGCTATAGGCTTTTTTATCCTTTTTATCTGGATTATTTACCTACAGAGGAAAGCCTGGAGGTGGACGAAAAACAAGACGGCATGCTATTCCTGTTTTGGTTACCAAAAGCCCAGTCGAGAACCACCCGTCGATATGCCACAGATGCAATCACAACAACTTAACAAGAATTAAACGTTCTCAAATTAAGAACTCTAGCACGAATTCCACTAAGGAAGACAAATATGCAGTCCCTAAATGCATGTTTCTAAATATCTGTAGCTTGACTAAGACACGGAATGGAATCAAAGCTAATCTGGCACTTAAAGCTGACTTATTTACGAATGAAATCGACATCTGCGTTGTTTCCGAAACACATGTAAAAAGGATCGTGTCGGACTCGGTTGTACCTATATCCAATTATACCATCCACAGAAGAGATCGAAACAGGTTTGAAAAAGGACAAGTGAGAGAAAGGAGCCGTAGTGATTTATGTGAGGAAAAATATAAAAGTGAAATTGGTTTCGAGATCGGAGTTGTTTGAGTCCATCAGTCTGGAAATTGATAAATAAATAAATAATAAATAAATAAATAATGATTTAACAATGGACATCCACTGGGTGGCTATTCTTGTCCACTGTTCCAGATCGAATTGGAATTTGGAATGTTGGTTTTTGCGGAGGGAGGAAAACCGGAGGACCCGGGGAAAAACCCTCGGAGCAAGGACGAGAACCAACAACAAACTCAACCCACATGAGACGCCAGGTCCGGGAATCGAACCCGGGCCACAGTGGTGGGAGGCGAGTGCTCTCACCACTGCGCCATCCCTGCTCCCCTTTGATTACTATATCGGGCCATCATATGCTGATGTGTGGTATTTATCATCCACCAAGATCTAAATACCAGGAAGACGACTTAATTGAATATGTCACGGATACTGTAGATCAGTTTCTCCAGCGTCAACCAAGTGGGCTAGTGCTATGTAGAGGAGACCTCAACTGGCTTGATTTAGAAAAGCTTTCGAATTTATCTGGTTTAAAAGTGCTGGTTGACTTTCCAACTCTAGGCGATTCTGTTTTGGACAATTACTTGACTAATAATGAAGCCCTCTTCTCTAGGTGCTACCCTATTGTCGCACAAATGAAAACAGACCATAAAGGCATAATTTTACCAGCAGGTGTGAGACTAAAGCCCTCGAGATTCAGTAGCACAATGCGTGATTACTAAGAGCATTGCAAAATCATGTTTTACCATAAGCTCCTTGACCAAGACTAGAATCATGTTAGTAATAACTCTGACATCGATGCAGCGGTGAACTCGCTGCACTCCATCTTAGAGAAATTAATGAAGGAATATTTTCCAAGCAAATCGATTCGAATGTCTTCCAGAGACCCTCCGTGGATGAGTCCATTAGTGAAATTGCTCTTGAAGAAAAAAACAAGATCTCGAAAAGGCAGTGGGAGAGACTTAGCTGAACTGACGGAGAAGATAGGATGACTAATAGCTGAAAATCACCGAGCCTTAGCATATGTGAAACTTGGATCGCTAGCCTGGTGGAGGAAAGTTGATCGACTGTCCATGCGTAAAGACAAGAGCAGCTGCGAACCAGACAAGGATTTCATCATTGGTTTAAATGATTATTTCGGTGACATTTGCTTTGATAGAGAATATTCTGAACCAGTTCCTGCCGAGATTGATGCGAACACCCCTGCTCCACAACTATCTATATTTCAAGTGTTTATTGCCTTATCACGAATAAAGCATACTGCCACTGGACCTGATGGAATTCCTTTCAGGATATGGAAAGATTATGTTGAGATATTTACCCCAGTGATTGTGAATTTATGGAACATGTCTCTTGCTAGGCAGATTTGGCCAAGCCGTTGGAAGGAGGCTAACATCAATCCACTCCCAAAAGTCAAGACACCAGTCGAATACGCAGACTTTAGAGGAATCAACGTTACTCCAGTTATTGCCAGAACGTTTGAAAGAACAGTATCTAACATTTTTAACAAGAGGCGCCTGGAGGAACATCTGAATCACTCTCAATTTGCATACCGCTCAGATGGAAGTTGTGTAAACGCTCTGTTGAAAATGCCGCGTACATTTCTCGAGGCATTGGATAGACGGGACACGTTAGCGGTGAGAATGTTTATGATGGATTTTTCAAAAGCAGCTTTGATAACGTTAAACACAATCTCCTAGTTGAAAAGCTGAAACGCAGTCCACTTGATCATGCATTGTTAACTGGTATGCCAACTTTCTTGAAAGCAGAAAACAGAGGGTGATTTTCAATAATTTGACTTGCCAGTGGAGAATTGTCAACAAGGGAACAACACAGGGAAGCGTCAGTGGCCCATATCTTTTTAACATATTTTTGAATGACCTAGAGATAGATGGGTACAAAGATATATCCCTGTTTAAGTATGCAGACGATTCAACCGTCTTAGTCACGATCACTAAAGATTCCCCGGATATATTTGACATTGCCTTGTCAAAGTTTATGGATTGGACTGTTGCAAACGGCATGCATTGTAACACTAGTAAGTGTAAGGAGCTAGTTATGCGTAAGAAAGGCAATTCAACAGTCTACCCAATGTCTCACAATATCGAACAATATAATAACAATTCTTTACTGGGCGTCACATTTCAAGGTAATTGTAAGTTCAGCATGCATGTCAAGGCCAAGCTCCATGAAGCCAACAAGTGTTTATTTGTCATCAGAAGCCTACGTCAAGAAGGATATACTCAAGGCAAAATAGACCACCTCTTTAATTCAATTGTGATCCCTAAGTTATTGTACGGTCTTTCAGTTTATGCTGCAAGTGTTTCCGAACTTACTGTTATACAAAGGTTTTCGAAAAGATGCTTTAAGAGGCGCTACACGTCGGTCAATTACAGCATATATGAACTTTTGGAGAAAAGTGACAGACGCCTTTTTTATAACCTCAAACATGATGACCATCCCTTAAAAAGCCTACTCCCAAGGTACAAAGACTATATTGTAAACATTCAAAGGAAATCCATTGTCAGGCCCAGCATTAACACTGAACATTTTAAACATAGCTTTTTTAGTAGATTAATTTTTAAATATAGTCTACCTGTGTAAATACCCCATATGTATTTCTAATCATTTTTATTCGATTTAATCATTGTAATTTTTCCCATCAATATATATTTTTACTGTAACATCAGATATGTAATTTTATCGGATGGTTTTTTAATAAAGACGAATTTATTTAGAACCAGATAAACATAAGAGACCATGGAAACCTGTCATTAAGGATGAGATGGAGGCTTTTGAGGGAATTGTTATTCTAATAGGCATCGTAAAACTACCCCAAGTGTATATATATGTATTGGAGTAAAGACAAGCTCACTCACCAAGCTGGCATTAGCTCTGTAATGCCTCCTGAACAAAGTTTCTGCAGATTATGCTGTAGCTTCATTTGGCTGACAACCCAGCAGGTATTCCCAAAGCAACACCTGCCTTTGATACAATTATTGCATGTTAGAGAGTATATCAACATCATTCTGAGAAATTCTTAAAGGAGTACAACCTGGCTAGGGATGTTCCTATTGACCAAACAATAGTGCCGCACATGGGACATCTTTCATACAAAGAATATAAAAAGAACAAACCCACCCAGTGGGGGATTAAACTTTGAGTTCTTTGTGAAGCCACTACATGCTACATTTATCGATTTCAAGTTTACCTTAGAAGGGAGGATGAAACTGCCAAGAAGAACCTTGCATGGAGAGTTGTGAAAGATCTCACTTAGTGAGTAAGTTTAGTAAAATTATTATTTATTGTCACGGCTATCCCTCATTTAGGTTGAGGGTGATAGTCTTCGTATTGATCAGTGGTGTGTCCGCAGGTGGCTCATGAACTATATGAGGTAAATGATAATTTGCTAGCACTTGAAGGTTAATGACTGATATCTACCCCTGTCAATGTGCTTTATATAGTATTTTATAGATGGTTACATTTCATGCACATGTTGCCGATTGCAAACATCAGCAAGCGACTGCAAAGGATGAGACCACCTGATTATTTGTCAAGACTTCCAAGGGACTTAGAAAAGCATTTCAAAAACTTGAAAGGTGCATGTCTGTGTATAGTCAAGTAGTAAGTTGCTGCATTTATAGCTCTTGATTTAGTCTTGTGTTACAAAGTATTATCATTTTGCATTTGATGAATTTGAAACTGTGGTGGGAACGCAAACCTCCACAAGCAACAAATTAATAATGATCAAACCTTTGTGTGTGCCAATCAATCATGAAGGTAGATTGATGTCCTTGTATGTGTTCTCTTCCGCCCCCCTCTAATAATGCTTCAGACTTCTAGTATTTCCTTTGAATGCCTGCCATGCATGTGGCTAAAAGGGCATGTGGGTCACAACAACTGTTCAGTGTGAAGCTAATTAGAAAATGTTATTAACAATTGATTATTAAGTATTTTATCCCTTTTTACTTTGTTTAAAGCTTCAGAGTTGCAAGCTTGCCTGTTATACTACGCACTACCATGTTCAATCGGTTACCTGCCTTACAAATACCTGCTACATTTTAGACACCTGGCAGAAGGTATTTTCATCCTTCTTGGAGATGCAATTACACCTCTTCAGTTAAACAGAGCAAAAGATCTCCTGCACACCTTTTGCAGGGACTTTCAGAGTTTATACGGTGAGAGCATGTGATAATGCTGTAATCAGTTGTGTGGCTGGTCATTTGATCTACTCAGATGCAATACATCAGATATGCAACACACACCAAAAAAAACTAATTCTATATTGGTCAGGGTTTTTTTTATAAAACTTAGGCACAATGTTTGAAAACAGATACAATGTTTTGTTGTTGCCTGTTTTGCTAATTTCGAACTTAAAAGGTAACCTTCAAAGATTAGTATTTAAGATTTTTAAAAGTTTATCAACTGTGAAATCAAGAACTGGATATTGTTAAAGTCTTTACAGGAAATGGAAGTTGTGGGCTCAATGTTCACAATGCTGGTGTTCATTTGGCTGATTATGTACAGGGATGGGGACCGCTTTGGGCTTGCTCAACCTTTGGTCTTGACGATATGAATGGTACCATTATGGACCTGACACACGAAACAGGAAATGTTTGTAGGCAGGTGAGATACACTCTCTCTTTTGGAAGTGAAGAGCAGAGTTTGATATTGTATAGAAACTGATCAGTTTCAGCCTTTTAATTAGGTGATAACATGGAACTTGTTATTCCCCAGTTACCATATTATTGAAAGCTTCTTATAATCCAGGAACCATTTTAGACAAAAGATCTAGTAACTGTTGTAATAGTTCCCTGACCTGACATTATCATTGCCACTGTAAACAATTAATCATTGAATTCCTTTTACATTCAAAGGTTCTGTGGATGCTTCATGCTCAGAATCGACTAAGGTGTGGCATACAACTGATGGAAAATAGCGCCATGAAACACTTCATTGAAAGAATGCTGAACACTAAAAGAGGGTATGTCAATTTAAGTTATTCCAAAAGTTAATGTACTGAATGAAAGGCTTTTGCTGCATTGGCGTAGCCAAGAGGAATTCTTCATTAACAAACATTACTCAGGTGAATATTTGTTTTGTTACCGGGTTTTAGGGTAAAAAATCTCAAGACTGCTCAAGGTTGCCAAATTGCTGGTGGAGCGAAAAAGCTCAATGGATTATCACAAGATTTGCTTGAGGAAATTAACAATGAAACCACTAGCCAAACAAAGATGAAAGTGCTACGTATTGTGAAGAATGGACATGTTTATTTCTCAAAGGAGTGTTCCAGAATGGTTAAACGAAATTCATCTGTTGCCCTGTTTGAGAATGGGAAAATTGGGGAGATTAAGAGTTTTTTTGTCTGGGAACGAGACTCTGGATTGACACTTGCAGTGTTCCGAGAGGTGTATCCAGATCTTGGCAAACCCTTTTTCTTTCAAGATGCTGGCCATCACATTCTTAGGTTGAAACCAGAGAGGTACTGATGCTTTTTTTTTCTGTTTATGATAGACTTAACATAAATCTGCATGTAACTGTGGAAAATGCTGCAAAACCTTTTCCGTAATTGTCAATGGAAACAATAATTTTACCTATTGACCAAAGTAACATAAATTTCATAAAAAAAGGTTGTGGTTATTCATCATGGTAAATAACAATAATAACTAAATTTTATTGTTTGTCTCACAATGTAGTCATTGATGATGTATATTGTAACTTTTCAACTGCATACTGCTAGTTTTCTTCGAGTGATTATTAACATGAAATTATTGTAATTACGCATATGGTGGGATTGTTGTCAGATGAGTCAGGTCTAGTCTTTGAAAAGCAATTAATGTTTAGCATTTTGTTGGTAGACTCTCTGATGCCACATTGCCTGTCTTCCTTTAAATTTTGCTTTCAGATCTGAACTTCAAGTTGAGCAAATTGAAAAGCTACAAGATAAAGTTTTTTTCCTGGAAGGAAACAAAGACAACATTTGTGTTATCAGAATTCCAAACTTCGGTGGAGTTTGTGGATAATGTGTATTTAAAAAAATGCATTACAATTTTAGATCTTCAATATTTGTGAGCAATTCCTTGCAAGAGAGGAGCTTTGTTCAAGCTCAAAAAGCTGCCCTTGAATTTTTACTCTCAGCTTGATGCATACATCTAATTCTTGCCACACTGAAAATCCTTTAATAATGGGATTTTTACAATTAAAAATATGAGACATGTAAATCATTTTGTATGTCTTTTTTTTTAAGCATACTGTAATTCTGTGGAGAAATGCTTGAGTTTAGGTAATATTAAATGAATCATGACAGAACAGCAGCATGGTTATTGCCACTTGTAAGAGTTACCTAGAAGTTAGTAGTTTGTACTTTTCAATAGGAAGTAATGCTCTTGTAATCCTAAGTAATTCTGGAAATAGATTCAACAAACATCTAACATGTAATGACACCTGAAAATTTTTACATGCAAAAATCTTAGTTGGTTAAATTATTACAATAAATGCTAGATTTTTCAAAAGAAAACGTACTTAAAGGTATTTTTAATTTTACTAACAGGTTTTTATTTGGAATCAGTTATTAGATGTAACATTCTTGAAAAGTGTGCAATTCTAGAAACTAAAAAATTAATTACAAGCCATCAATTAGTGTCTCAAAAAGTCCATTCTTAGAAAATCCCAAAAATTCCAAACTTCACTATTCAACAGC